CACATGAAGAAAGCAAAAGGTCATTAAAAAGATAGGAAATAAAGAAAGAAAAAAAAAAATGGATGTCAGTAGAGACTGTGAAAACTTGCTCTTGAATGTACAGTAGCTAAAGTAGAAAAAGTGATGAAGTGAAAGAGGTGAACAGAAGATTTCAAAGGGTGACTTGAAAAAAAAATAAAGTACTATATTGAAATGTGCAAAAAGCTGCAGTTAGAAAACCAGAAGGTAAGAACATACTCAGTATTTCTCAAGCTAAAAGAACTGAAGAAAAAGTTCAAGCCTCAAGTTGCAATACTGAAGCATTTAATGGGCAAAATATTGAACAATGCAAGAAGCATCAAAAGAAGATGGTAGGAATACACAGAATCAATGCACTAAAAAAAAAATGGTTGACCTTCAACCATTTTAGGAGGGAGCATATGATCAAGAACTGATGGTACTGAAAGAAGTCCAAACTTCACTGAAGGCACTGACAATAAACAAAGCTTCAGGAATTGGCCGAATACCAAGTGAGATTTCAACAAACGGATGCAACAGATGCAATGCTGCAAGCGCGCAACCATTTATGCCAAGAATGGTTGACAGGCAGAGGCCAGCAGGTGGGACAGAAATTTGGGTGCAGCTGACAAAGGCCCTCCTGTCCAGGCACCGGTGGTACCAGGCCCTTCAGTAGAGGAACCAGACTCCTTTTCTCAAAATGTTTGAAGGTGACACCAATTGGCTTCCAGAGTTCATCGTGCAGACGGGCTCATACATGTTTGTGGATGAGGCCATGCATGGTTCTCGAACGACACCCTGACAATGACATTCCTCTTCACTTGCCTCCCTAGGCCAGCCCTTCAGTGGGTAATCCCCTACATCAAGAAGGAGAGGCCCCACCTTAATGATTACTGGGGCTTCCGGGCGAGAAGCAGGTCTTTGGCTGGGACACCCTGGGGCTGGGGACAGTGAACAGGGGAAAGGTCCTGACTGCCGACACTACCCAGGCTGCTGTTCGCCCCACTCCCTAGCTGTCTCATTCTCTTGAACTCCTGCTTGCATTTTTTCCAGACAGAGCTCCAGGTCTCAGCTGCTGCCACTGAACCTGTCTCCAGAGCGCACGAACGCCCTCTTGAACCAAACAGTCCTATCCGTGTACACATGGACTCTGTCCTACCCTCCAGCTGAGAACTGGGCTTCCGTTACATACTGAACAGACCACACATAGCCTGGTCCTGCCATGCACCTTGGTGCCAGACCACCAGGCCTGCTGCATACCCAGAGAACTGTGCCACTCACCATCCCCCCATCTGGCAGACTGCCCCCTTGGCCCTCAGGACTCACCTAGGAGGGACCTGGGCTAACCACAGCTGGAGGATGGACAATGATTCAAACTGCCTGACATCCCCTGAAGGGACCAGCCTTTCTCCTTCAGCAGGCTCCATCCCCTCTCCACTCTCAGACACCTGTTCTGCTCCTGGAAGATGGCCCTGAGGGCCCCAAAGGCAGCCAAATCCAGTCACTTCTTTTCTCCTGTGGACCAGTTAGTTTCCTCTAGAATCTACTTCTCTTTTGTATCTGCAGCTATTTCCCAGATATGTGCTTTTCCTCCAGAAAGATAACAGATGCTCACTGCCCAGCTCCTCACACTACCTGGACAAACGCATTTTCTTTCTTTCTTTTTTATTTTTTAACATCAATAAATGGGAGACATTAATTTAAAATAAAAGAAATTTAAAAGAGAGCTATCTGGCCAACCAACTGGAAGAAATCCATATTTGTGTCTATCCTAAAGAAAGGTGATCCAACAGAATGCAGAAATTATATTTAAAAAAATTATCATTAATATTACACGCAAGTAAGATTTTGCTGAAGATAGTTCTAAAACACTTGTAGCAGTACATTGACAAGGAACTGCCAGAAATTCAAGCTGGATTCAGAAGAGGGAGTGGAATGAGGGCTATCATTGCTGATGTCAGATGGACCTTGGCTGAAAGCAGAAAATACCAGAAAGATATTTACATGCATTATATATATATATATATATATATATATATATAATGTTAAGCATCTTTCATGTAATTATTTACTTGTAGATCTTCTTTTTTTTTTTTTTTACATTTTTTTTTTTTTTGATTCGGGTGAAGATTTACAGAGCAAATTCACTTTCCATACAGCAGTTCACATACCCTTTGTCTCATAACAGTGACCACAATTTACCACAATGCAACAGCTCCCCTCCCACTTCCTCCCCATAGTTACCTCTTCCCTGTGTCCATCCCTCCATGCCCTCCTGCCCCTTGAGCTGTCTCCCTGTGCATAAGCAGCCCTTCTTTCTCCCATGATTGTTCTCTCCAAGGAGTGTATCTATCAAGTCATATGCCTGTCTTTTGCTTGACTGGAAGCCACAGGTGTGGGTTCAATTCCAGACCTGACGGGCAGCTAGGGGCCATAGTCTCAGTGGTTCCAACAGGCTCTAGTGGACCAGCAAACCTGGTCCCCCCCGCCGTTTTTTTTTTTTTTTTTTTTTCTTCCAAATGATTTTGAGTTTTGTCCACATTGTTCTCCCTCTCTATCCAGGATCTTCTACATAGATCCCCTTCCAAGTGGTTGACATTGGTAGCCAGGCACCATCTAGTTCTTCTGGTCTCATAGTTGTATAGGCTGCAGATTGGAGGGTGTACTAGTTGCTAGGACTGATTGTATCCTTGAATTTTTGGTTTTCTTCATTCTTCTTTGCTCTGGATGAGGAGAGACCCATTGTTGCATCTAGATGGCAGCTTGCAAGCTTTTAAGATCCTAGTCGCTACTCGCCAAAGTAGGAGGTGGGACAATGTTTTGTGTAGTATGTTATGCCAATTGAGCTTGATGTCCCCTGTGACTATGGTCCTGAGCCCACTACCTGTGTTTTATGCAAAGGCATTCGATTTTTTGGATCATAACAAGTTTTGGATAACATTGCAAAGAATGATAATTCCAGAACACTTAATAGTGCTCATGCAGAATCTGTATGTAGAACAAGAGGCAGTCATTGAAAGGGAACAAGGGGATACTGCATGGTTTAAAATCAGCAAAGGTGGATCAGAGTTGCATCCTTTCACCCCAGTTATTCAATCTGTATGCTGAGAAAATAATCCAAGAAGCTGAACTATATGAAGAACACAGCATCTGCACTGGAGGAAGACTCATTAACAACCTGTGATATGCAGATGACACAACCTTGCTTACTGAAAGTGAAGAGGATTTGAAGCACTTACTGATAAAGATAAAAGACTTCAGCCTTCAGTATGGATTACATCTCAATATAAAGAAAAGAAAAATCCTCACAACTGGGCTAATAAGCAACATCCAGATAAATGGAGAAAATGGTGAAGTTGTCAAGGATTTCATTTTACTTGGATCCACAATCAATGCCCATGGAAGCAGCAGTTAAGAAATCAAATGATATATTGCATTGGGCAAATCTGCAAAAGACCTCTTTAACATGTTCAAAAGCAAAGATGTCACTTTGAGGACTAAAGTGTGCCTGACCCAAGCCATGGTATTTTTAATTATCTCATATGCATGCGAAAGCTGGACAATGAATAAGGAAGATGGAAGAATTGATACCTTTAAATTACGGTGTTGGTGAAGAATACTGAACATACCATGGACTACCACAAGAACAAACAAATCTGTCTTGGAAGAAGTATAGCCAGAATGTACCCTAGAAGTTAGGATGGCAAGTCCTTTGTACTTCATACATGTTATCAGTAGGGGTCAGTCCCTGGAGAAGGACACCATACTTGGTAAAGTAGAGGGTCAGTGAAAAAGAGGAAGATCCTCAATGAGATGGACTCTGACATGGTGGCTGCACAATGGATTGAGAGGATGGCACAGGACCAGACAGTCTCATTCTGTTGCACAAGGGGTCACTATGAATTGGAACTGACTTGACAGCACCTACAACCACGCACCACCTATTTATAAAGTGGGTTGCAACTTGAGGCACATCTTTTTCCTAGAGCATAAGAGTGCAAGCATGGGAGCCAGACCAACTTAGCTAACTCTGAATCATACTAGCTACGTGGTGCTGGAAAGTCACATAACTTTGGAGGACAAGTTTTCTTCTTCATTAAATGGGGATGATAATAACTGGTAGCCCGTAGGATGTTGCAAAGATTAGAAAATTCAAACACATAGCACTGTGCCTGGCACACAGTAGGTACTCAGTAAGTGGTGATTACTATTGTGCATGCCTTTAATTTTAGCAGGATTCTTGGATGCTACGCTGAGCATCGTATCACTTCGCCTTGATAGGCTGATTCCCTCTGAGGCATTCAAACTATCTGCACTCTGGGTTATCTTCAGTTCCATTTTTATGCACAGGTTACAAAATGAGTGATCCAATGTTCTCACCTTTCGTAACTTAAAATCAAACTCGCATAACACGATATGGAAGTTGTTGTTGTTGTTCTGTGCCCTCGAGTCGTACTGACTCACAGCGATCCCTCCTTGGGTTTCCAAGGCGGTATCACTACAGAACTAGTTCGCCCAACCTTTCTTCCGAGGAGTGGCTGATGGGTTTGAACCAACAGCCCTCTGGTTAGCAGTCAAGTGCCTCAGGCACTACGCTCCGGAGCTCCTGTATGGAAGTTACGCTACCTATTTTCAGAATATTTGTTAATTGATAGGGAGACTGGCACTACTAGAGATGCTGGCGCTTTCTTTTTATTGTGGTAAATATACAGGTAACAAAAGAGTTGCCATTTCAACAATCTTCACAGGTACAGCTCAGTAACATTAATGCACTCTCTTTTTCAGAGCTCTGAGAGGTGCAGCAGTGGGCCCAAAGCCAAAAGCACCATGGCTTCCGGGTACCTCTGAGGTACCTCCCAGGTCTTCCCAACCTGCAGCCGGAGAGGATGGAAAGGTCAGCAGAATGCCGCAGGGCCCACCCATCAGTCCTTTCCAGGACCCTCCCCGGGACGGGTCCCGAGTGAGCAGCGCAGCTGCGCGCGGGCAGTGGCAACGGCACTTACCAGAATGAAGTGCACCAAGGCGTCGTAGCAGAGCCAAGCGAGAGCCCCGCGGTCCGCCGCCCCCCGGTGTCGGCCCAGACACAGGCCCAGAGTGCAGCCCCCGGCCAGCAGAGCGGCGCACAGCAGCAGCGAGCGACCCGCCGCGGCCCCCAGCTCCGATGCAACGTCCATGCTTCCTTCTTTCTCACCCGCTGCCTGGGATCCTGCGGTTGTGGGACGGAAAGCTCAGGCAGAAAAAGTGGTGGAAAAGGAAGCCCGGCGGCGTGGAAGGGGCGGAGCTCCTTGGTGGGGGCGGGGCTCCTAGGCCGGGGCAGGGCACGTTCGCGGACTCGGTCGCTATTTGGCTACCGCGCAAGGCCTGCGAGCCGAGCCTGATCCGCTGGTGGGGGTTCTTGAACAGTCGTTGTTGTGCCACAAACTCGGTTAACGCCTTCACCAAACCTGTTCCCAAACCAGGCTCAATAGGACTGCTACACCTTTTTTGCAGTTTTCTTTTAACAAGGTTCAACCTGTAAGCCACAAAAGGGAGTTCAGATAGTGGAAATTTTGCCAATAAGTGGGGAAGAATTTTAGGGACAAAGAGCTCTAATCGAACCCTTGCAAGCCGGAGGGAGCTCTCATGCTGCTGTGGTTAAAGAATTGGGCTGCTGACCGGAAGATTGGCTATTGGAACCCACCAGCCGCTCTGCGGGAGAAAGATGGGACAGTCTACTTCCACAAATGTATACCTTTGGAAATCCTATGCCCTGTAAGGTCGCTATGAATTATAACCGCCTGGATGGCAGTGGGTTTGGTTTCTGGTTAAGGCATGTGAAGTGGTGTGGGCCAAGGACATTTTCAGCCGCCCAGCAGGCTTTCTAAAACCTTTGTTGCTTACTCTGACACTATTTCCATTTCTTAAAAATCCAGAAAAGTAGCAAAAGTATGGGAGAAAGGAGCAGTAAGTCATATCTACTTGGTGCCACATGCTTTTACTAATGCTATCTTAACATTGGGAGCTCTGGTAGCATAGTGCCTAAGGCACTTGACTGCTAACTATAAGGCTGGCGGTTCAAACCTACCAGCAACTCCTGGGAAGGAAGTTTGGGCAATGTACTTCCATAGTGATACTGCCTCGGCAACCCAAGGAGGGGTCGCTATTAGTCGGGTCTGACTCGGGGGCACATAACAACATCATCTTAACATCACAACAACCCTATGAGGTCAGCGTGTGATTCCCTATTTTACAAATAAGAAAACAGGCTCAAAAAGGTGATATTATTTGTGCAAAAACACTGAGTGCCTAGATCAAGGCCAGAACCCATCTGGGTGCCACCAAGGCCCCTGTTGTGATCCTGCACCCGGACGCCTTCATAGACAACCTGGTTCACTAATGACGTTCCAATTCATCCTCATCATCCTAACCCTTTTTCACTTTTCCTAAATTTTTTGTTTGTTTTTTGCTTGAACTTTCAACATTTTGGCAAGCAACCCAGTGAGTTTACCATTTACACTACCCAACGACTCAGAGATACCAACCAAAAAAAAAAAAAAACCCAATTCACTGCCCTGGAGTCGGATTCCACTCATAGCGACCCCTCCTTGGATTTCTGAGGCATTATCACTACAGAAGTAGATAGCTCAACCTTCCTTCAAAGAGCGATACTAAGGATCATGAAGATAGAACAAGACCAGGCAACATTTTGTTGTTATGCATAAGGTCACCATGAGTCAGAGACAACTGGAAGGCAACTAACAACAATGATGAAGTCAGTTTCTTCCAATTTATGGTAGCCAGTTAAAGTACAGGATGTCCACAGAAATTTGAATTTCAGATAAACAAATAATTTCTTAGTATATACTTACACAAAAGTAAGGAACTTTAGTGTAAATAAAGGGAATTGTCAGAAATTCAAGCCAGTTTCAGAAGATGGCATGGAATGAGGGATATCATTGCTGGTGTCAGATAGATCTTGGCTGAAAGCAGAGAATACCAGGAAGATGTTTATCTCTGTTTTATTGACTATACAAAGACATTTAACCATGTGGATCAAACAAATTATGGAAAACATTGTGAAGAGTGGGAATTCCAGAACATTAAATTGTACTCATGAGGAATCAGTACATAGACCAAGAGGCAGTCATTCAAACAGAACAAGGGGACACTGCATGGTTTAAAATCTGGAAAGGTGTGTGTCAAGGTTGTATCTTTCACCATACTTATTCAGTCTCTGGTTTAAAAATCAGGAAAGGTGTGTGTCAAGGTTGTATCCTTTCACCATACTTATTCAGTCTGTATGCTGTGCAAATAATCTGAGAAGGTGAACTATATGAAGAAGAGCATGGCATCAGGTTTGGAGGAAGGCTCATTAACAGCCTGTTGTATGCAGTTAACACAACCTTGCTTGCTGAAGGAGGTCTTGAAGCATTTACTAATGAAGATCAAAGACTTCAGCCTTCAGTATGGATTATATCTGAACATAAAGAGAATAAAAATCCTTACAACATAATAAGTAACATCATGATAAATGGAGAAAATAATGAAGTTGTCGAGGATTTCATTTTTCTTGGATCCATAATCAGTGCCATGGAATCATCAGTCAAGAAATCAAACGATGTATTGCATTGGGCAAATCTACTGCAAAAAACCTATTTAAAGTGTTCAAAAGCAAAGATGTCACTTTAAGGACTAAAGTGTGCCTTATGCAAGCCATATTTTCAGTCACCTAATATGCATGCAAAACCTGGACAATGAATACAGGAGATGGAAGAGTTGATGTCTTTGAATTATGGTGTTGGCAAAGAATATTGAACATACTGTAGCATAGTGGCTAAGACACTTGCCTGCTAACCAGACAGCTGGCGGTTCAAACCCACCAGCCACTCCTTGGAAGGAAGTTTGGGCAATCCTACTTCCGTAGTGATACTGCCTCGGAAACCCAAGGAGGGGTCGCTATGAATCGGGGCCGACTTGACGGCACATAACAACAACAACAACAAATGGACTACCAGAAGAATGAACAACTCTGTCTTAGAAGAGGTACAGCCAGAATGCTTCTTGGAGGCAAGGATGGTCAGACTTCATCTCACATACTTTGGTCATGTTGTCAGAGGTGAGTAATCCCTGGAGAAGCATATCATGCTATGTAAAGTGGAGGGTCAGTGAAAAAGGGGAAGACCCTCAAGAAGATGGATTGACACAGTGGCTGCAATGATGGACTCAAGCATGGCAAGGCTTTGAGGATGGTGTGGGCCTGGGCAATGATTTGTTCTGTTGTACATGAGGTCACTATGAGTCAGAGCTGACAAAATGGCACCTAATAACAACAACAAAGTAAAGAGCTCAAACTCACTGTTATCAAGTCAGATCCAACGCATAGCGACCCCTCCTTGGGTTTCCAAGGCGGTATCTCTACAGAAGTAGATTGCCCAACCTTCCTTCCAAGGAGTGGCTGTAGGTACTCTTTTTACTCTTTTGGAGAAGTCTTTGGAAGCACATAAAAATTTAATTTTTAGAAGGTCCCATTCACCTAGCTTATCTTCTGCTGTTTGTGCATTTTGGGCTATGCTTGACAGTGTATTTATGCCATAAATTAGAGGCCCAATTATTTCCTTGAGGAATTTTATAGTTCTAGGTTTCACATTTAAGTGTTTCATCCATCTGGAGTTAGTTTTGTATATGGTGTGAGGTATGGATCTTGTTTTATTTTTTGGCAAATAGATATCCAGGTTTGCCAGCACCATTTGTTAAAGAGACCATCTCTTCCTATTTAATGGATTTCAAACCTTTGTCAAAAATCAGCTGACCATAAGTGATGGATCTATTTCTGGGTTTTCAATTCCGTTTCACTGGTGTATGCATCTGTCGTTGTACCAATATCAGGCTGTTTTGACTACTGTGGGTGATAGTAAGTTTTGAGATCTGAGAGTGTGAGACCTCCCACTTTGCTCTTCCTCAGTAGTGCTTTGCTTATCCAAAGTCTCTTTCCTTTCATATAAAATTAATGATTGGTTTTTCCATATCCTTAAAGAATGTTGAGGGGATAAGAAGCCAGGAACCCGGACAGAAGAGCAGTCAGCCCCAGGGTTACAGGTGAGGAGAGACAACTCAGGGATGCCCGAAGTAGCAAG